AAGCACAAATAAATCACTTTGCTGAAGAGCTAAACAAAACTCTAGCTAGAATAGATGAAATAGAAAATGAAAATAGTATTAACAACAATATTGATGAAATCACTCGTTTGCATGAAAGAGCCGCGGAATTAGAAATTATAATTAGAGAAGAAGAAGAACAATTAGAGAAAGAGGATGTACGAGAGAAACAAGAAGAAGACATTACTAGATTACAGCGGTTTAAAGAATGGGTTAAGGAAAATATCCCAGGATTATCAGCTTTAGTTATATCTGTGGCTGGGATAATTATAACCATTGTCATTAGTGCAAGAAAAGCAATCCTACAAGGTGCTCAAGCTACTAGTAAATTTTCTAAGGCTTTAGCAACTCTAGGTAAAAAATTATGGTCAGTATTAGGACCATTATTGAATATTATCGCCCAGGCTATATCTTGGGGAGCTAAAGGTTTAGCATGGTTATCTTCTAATCTTTGGGTTTTAGCTATTATGATTTTAGCTATTATATATGACCAGCATAAACAAAGAAAAAAATAAAATATGTTTTAATATATATATGAACAGATTACAAGAAGAGCTTTTACCTGGTTATAAAAGAACTGCTAAAACAAAAATTAAAGGAAATAGAACTTTTTATAGTATAACCTTTAACCCAAATAGTGTTAAACCGAATGAACAAGTTTATGTTAATATACCAAAATTAAAACCAAATAGTTGCTTAGTGCCTGGTTCAGTTAATCTATCGTTTGATCTTAAAATCAGTAATACAAAAAGTCACTTTCTAAATAATCTCAGTCAGATTTTACAAAATAGACTACAAATTAAAGTTGCTGGTGAGACATTATACGACTGTAAGAATCATAATGTTATAAGTATATACAAAGACTTGTGGATGCCGAAAAGTGATCGACAAGGCCTTATTGAATATGGTATTTGCCGTCAAAATCTAAGAAAATTGATTTCTGGGGATGATAGTGCTGCAACAAGTGGGGATTCAGAAAAAGTAGCAGACAAATTAATGTATGATATTTATGGTACAAGGCAGAAAATTAATATTGATAATATTCTTAAAGATCATGGTCTTTATTGTCCTTCAATATGAATAATAACTTTCAACACATAATAACATTACCAGCAAGTGATCAAGTCCTTATCCCTCAAAGTGGTCAATCTATTGGTGATTATGAATTAGAAAATATTCAGCTAGAATATGAAACTATATTGAAAATCAAGAAATTGCAGATGAGGTGACAAATTTATATTCTCAAGGAAGGAGTCTATTTTATGAACATATAACCCTCTTAAAAAAGGAAAAATGGGATAAGTCAAGTACATTACAGAATGTTAACGTCAATGTGCCTCGTAAAAGTATGAAAGGCATTGTACTACTATTCACAGAAAATTCAGTTAGTGATAGTGAAAGATTTCCTTACGCACTCATCGATGAAGTTAAAATAACTGTCGAGGGGTGCCTAATGTTATTCTCGCCCAAGGTATGAATAAAAAACTATTTTATGAAGAATCAAGAAGATTTTTTGATAAAACTATCCCAATAAATAGCTTCATGACAATTGAAAAATTTTATAAGGATAAATTTGCATTAGTTATCGATCTACGCACCTTTCAAGAAAAAAATATTGCTGGTAACGGGAAACGAATCGTTAATACTCAAAATGGTATTTTACTAGAGATTAAAAAAAGAGCATATACAAAAGATTTAAACTGTTACATCTATGTTGTTAGTGATGCTCTTGTTCAATTTGTTAATAATGATTTACAAAGTATTCAATACTAAAATAACCAGTAATATATAAATGAATACACCTTTTAATATGATTATTTTAGGTATGACTAATTGTGGAAAATCTTTTTACCTTCTCAAAATGTTAGAAGAAAACTTTAATCACCATTTTGATTACATTATTTTATTATGTCCAACGCTATCATATAATAAAACCTATCACGAATGGAAATATATAAATGATTCTGATTTAATTAAAGTAGAATGTGACCAAGATCGTGTAGATATTTTTTTAAAATATGTTAGTGATGTATATAAAGGCACCAATAGTCTTATTATACTTGATGACTGTGCGAGTTGCTTAGATGTTAAAAATAGGACATCGGAATTAGTAAGATTAGGGTACAGTGCTCGCCATTATGGGCTTTCTACTATTGTGATTACACAGCAATTGACTAGTATTTCTAAACCTTATCGCGAAAATATAAGTTATTTAGTTACATTTTATAATACAAACCGCAATGATATGAAAACCATATTTGATGATTATCTTTATGGTGTTGAAAAAGATGATATAGAAAAAATAACCAAAAAATCGAAAAATAATAAGTATGCACATTTAGAAATCCAACTTGTATACCCATACCAATGGAAAATAGTTATTCCGCAATAAAACATGTGTTATATATATATGCCAAAGCGTAAAGAGCCTGAAACAATTGATGATATAATTAATGAGATTGATTCCACAAATGATATTATCAAAGACGCGGTATGTGATGAAAATATACAAGATAAATCGCAAGAGGGTTTTAATAAAAGAGATCAACTACTTAAGCTAGCTGAAGATGGTTATTTAGACAAGTCAGTTGCTTACATTAAAAAAGCTAGTCAAAAAATTATTGATAAATTATACACTGAATACGAGAAAAAAAGATTACAAAAAACTAATGAGTTTTTAACTGATTTAGTTATATCAAAATTTTCAGATATATTAAAAGGGTTTGATGCTATTGAAGATCCCAAAAAATTAACAAAACAGCTTAAATCAGACGACCTTTTAAAACGAGATGTGTACAGTTTAGTAGAAAAAGTATCACCCCTATTACCTTTTTTAGGGTTTTTATCTGGTGGTTTAACAACTGTTAAACATGTTTACGAACATAAAAATAATAAACCGGATATAAAATCTGAGTAATAATATAAATGAGCTTATTTTATGGGCATGATAAAACAGATATTAATTTAAATATACAAGGATTTGTAGATAAAACACATCTATCAGATAATTATTATACTAAAACTCAAGCTGATGGTAAATTTAATGACTACTATACTAAAACACAAGCTGATGGTAAGTATGCTTTGACTTCTAATTTACTAAAATATTATACTAAAATGCAAGCTGATAATAAATATGTTTTTGTTTCAAGATTAGCCAACTATTATACAAAGAATGAAACAAATGGTAAGTATGCTTTAAGTTCTAATTTAACTAAATATTATACAAAAAATGAAACAGGTAGTAAGTATGCTTTAAATTCTAATTTAACTAACTATTATACTAAAACACAAGCTGATGGTAAGTATGCTTTAAGTTCTAATTTAACTAACTATTATACAAAGAATGAGATTGATAGCAGAGTAAATGGTAAAATAGTATACCATAGCAATCAATTAAATTATAATACAAATGTTAATAGCCGACAAGATACTATCAGAATTATTTTTAATAATATTAAATTTATTGAATTTACACTTTTATTAATAAATCCGTCTGATAACTCTAAAACATTTGAATTAGATATGATGGTAGATAAGATTAAAAAAAAATTTATCATTAAACTAACAAATGATAATGAAAAACAGATAGTTAATGCATTACTAGATTTATATTACGTATACTGTGTTGATGATGATTTCAACTATATTTATATTATTATTGAACCAAAAAAATCTACAGCTTCAATTGATTATAACGAATGGAAAAGAAAATGGCTGACAACATTAAATGGATTAACCAAAATGCAAGTTTATTCACAACATCAATCTACATTATCTAAGACATTTAATAGTTTTTCACAAAATTTTGGGGCTATTATAGAAAATAATATTCCATCAACTAAAAAATTTGTAAATGATGAAATCGAAAAATTAAAAAAATTTATTAAAGATAACTATCAAGCTAAAACTTAAGATGAAGAATAATCCTCAAGTTTGACTACATATCACATAACTGTTTGCAATAAGTAATTAATACAAAAGCGATATACAAAAAAATGCGAAATCCTGAAACAATTAGTAACAAACACTTTTAACAAAAATTATATAAAACATTAAATTATTAAAATGCGGCGACTTACATGTGCTGGTTACATTAAGCAACCATTGTTAAAAACATGCACTAAGACACGCGCCTGACAGACAAATTAAAAAACATATAGATTCCATATTTTTCAAAAGAGCATATGTTAAATGTCTGACATGCTCAAAATTCCAGCTTGGAGCTGGAATTTTTCGCCCCTAGAAACTGGCGAAACAGATGCTTTATTAACAATTGGTTGCTAAATATAGTTTTTAAAGAGCATATGTTAAATATCTGACATGCTCAAAATTCCAGCTTAAAGCTGGAATTTTTCGCCCCTAGAAACTAGCGAAACAGATGCTTTATTAACAATTGGTTGCTAAAGATAGTTTTTAAAGAGCATATGTTAAATGTCTGTTGTCCTTCGGACTCCAACGAAGCGAGCCCGAAAATTCTAGCTAAAGCTAGAATTTTTTACCCACCTGGGCTCGCACGATTCTCGAAAATCCCATCCCCCTGCTCGATCACTTCGTGATCTGCTCTGCCGGATTTTCTCCGAAAAGATGCTTTGTTAACATTTATTTGTAAAGACTGCTTGTAAAATTTAAACGCACCTATATGTTTTTGAAATATATAGATTCCATATTTTTTAAAAGAGCATATGTTAAATGTCTGTTATTCTTCGAATTCTTCGAATTCTCGAATGCCACTTCGGGCTCCGAATTTTCACTTCGTGAAAATTTTCCCCACCGAGCCCGAGGATTCTCGGAAACTCCATTCCCCTGCTCGAGCACTTTGTGCTCTGCGCTGCCGAGTTTCCTCCGAACCGATGCTATGTTAACATTTACTTGTAAAGACTGCTTGTAAAACTTAAACGCCCATATATATTTGAAAAAACATATAGATTCCAAATTTTTAAACGATAGATTGTAAACTCGAGATTTTTACCCACCTTTACAGTACATGAGGGTACAAGCGCAAAAATAACCTGTTAAAACAGGTTCTTTTTTTGCGCTAGTACCCCCATGTACTATACTACTAACATTTTCACGCCATGTATTTCATATGACGAAAATTTTATCTTTATTTGGTCTGTTAGGGACTCCACAATGGATATGACGTAAATGGAAAATCATATTTGCAAGATAAAGCTTTCATTACACAAGCTATAGCAAAAAAAGTATTGCAAATCTTCTTAAAAAACAATAAAAATTCAATTGGTACATATGTGTGTAATTTGACGACATCATCTGACTCTGAGCAAATAATCAAAATAAAATTGTTAGGGCGCTATTTTTTACGAGTCGGTGCACTCACTTCTGCCTGAAACTTCCTGAAATAAACTGCAAACAATGTGTGGTGGTCAAAAGTATTTTTTAACTTATGAGATAATTAGTGAAATATTGATTTCTTGCCGATAGCATTTTGCAATATTGACATAAGAATTAGCAAATGAACATTAGAAAAAGAGAAGAGTAACTAAATCGCAAGGGCGGTGGAACATCGATAATTGGGAGAGGGGGCTATTATTTAAATATACATGTTGTAATTTATTGCTTTCTATCGAAATCAATTGCGATACGGATTATTTCATATGAATATTTGAATACAGCCCATCCCCCCAATTATCAATGTTCCCCCGTCTTTGCATGCTAATTCGCACTACAACATTAAGAAAAGAGGAAGGTACCTCTTACTACAACATTAAGAAAAGAGGAAAGTACCTCGCACTTCAACATTAGGAAAAGAGGAAAGTACCTCGCACTACAACATTACGAAAAGAGGAAGGTACCTCGTACTACAACATTAAGAAAAGAGGAAAGTACCTCGCACTACAATATTAGGAAAAGAGGAAAGTACCCCGCACTACAACATTAAGAAAAGAGGAATGTACCTCACACTACAACATTAGCAAAAGAGGAAAGTACCTCGCACTACAACATTAAGAAAAGAGGAAGGTACCTCACACTACAACATTAGGAAAAGAGGAAAGTACCTCGCACTACAACATTAAGAAAAGAGGAAGGTACCTCACACTACAACATTAGGAAAAGAGGAAAGTACCTCGCACTACAACATTAAGAAAAGAGAAAAGTACCTCGCACTACAACATTAGGAAAAGAGAAAAGTACCTCGCACTACAACATTACGAAAAGAGGTAGGTACCTCGCACTACAACATTACGAAAAGAGAAAAGTACCTCGCACTACAACATTAAGAAAAGAGAAAAGTACCTCGCACTACAACATTAGGAAAAGAGAAAGTACCTCGCACTACAACATTAAGAAAAGAGGAAAGTACCTCGCACTACAACATTACGAAAAGAGGAAGGTACCTCGTACTACAACATTAAGAAAAGAGGTAGGTACCTCGCACTACAACATTAAGAAAAGAGAAAAGTACCTCGCACTACAACATTAAGAAAAGAGAAAAGTACCTCGCACTACAACATTAGGAAAGAGAAAAGTACCTCGCACTACAACATTAAGAAAAGAGGTAGGTACCTCGCACTACAACATTACGAAAAGAGAAAAGTACCTTGCACTACAACATTAAGAAAAGAGAAAAGTACCTCGCACTACAACATTAAGAAAAGAGGAAGGTACTTCACACTACAACATTAGGAAAAGAGGAAAGTACCTCGCACTACAACAGTAAGAAGAGAGAAAAGTACCTCGCACTACAACATTAAGAAAAGAGGAAGGTACCTCGCACTACAACATTAAGAAAAGAGAAAAGTACCTCGCACTACAACATTAAGAAAAGAGAAAGTACCTCGCACTACAACATTAAGAAAAGAGAAAAGTACCTCGCACTACAACATTAAGAAAAGAGGAATGTACCTCGCACTACAACATTAAGAAAAGAGGAAGGTACCTCACACTACAACATTAGGAAAAGAGGAAAGTACCTCGCACTACAACATTAAGAAGAGAGAAAAGTACCTTGCACTACAACATTAAGAAAAGAGGAAGGTACCTCGCACTACAACATTAAGAAAAGAGAAAAGTACCTCACACTACAACATTAAGAAAAGAGAAAAGTACCTCGCACTACAACATTAAGAAAAGAGAAAGGTACCTCACACTACAACATTAGGAAAAGATTAAAGTACCTCGCACTACAACATTAAGAAAAGAGGAATGTACCTCACACTACAACATTAAGAAAAGAGGAAAGTATCTCGCACTACAACATTAAGAAGAGAGGAAGGTACCTCACACTACAACATTAGGAAAAGAGGAAAGTACCTTGCACTACAACATTAAGAAAAGAGGAAGCTACCTCACACTACAACATTAGGAAAAGAGGAAAGTACCTCGCACTACAACATTAAGAAAAGAGGAAAGTACCTCGCACTAGATCATTAAGAAAAGAGGAAGGTACCTCGTACTACAACATTAAGTAAAGAGGAAAGTACCTCGCACTACAATATTAGGAAAAGAGGAAAGTACCTCGCACTACAACATTAGGAAAAGAGGAAAGTACCCCGCACTACAACATTAAGAAAAGAGGAATGTACCTCACACTACAACATTAGCAAAAGAGGAAAGTACCTCGCACTACAACATTAAGAAAAGAGGAAGGTACCTCACACTACAACATTAGGAAAAGAGGAAAGTACCTCGCACTACAACATTAAGAAAAGAGGAAGGTACCTCACACTACAACATTAGGAAAAGAGGAAAGTACTTCGCACTACAACATTAAGAAAAGAGAAAAGTACCTCGCACTAGATCATTAAGAAAAGAGGAAGGTACCTCACACTACAACAATAGAAAAAGAGGATGATACCTCGCACTACAACATTAGAAGAGAAATAAGTTACTTGTGAGACCTATGTAAGAGAGGCGGAGTTTATCATCACAGTAGTACAACACCTTCTACCCATTTGTACAGTAGTGTAACACCTTCTACACATGCTTATTAATGTGGGATTTGTACAGTAGTGTAACACCTTCGAACCATTTGTAAAGTAGTGTAACGCCTGCTACTCATTCTTATTATTGTGGGATTTGTACAGTAAAGTAACACCTTCTACCCATTTGTACAGTAGTGTAACACCTTCCAACCATATGTACAATAGTGTAACACCTTCTACCCATACTTATCATTGCGGGAGTTTTAATTGTTATTGTACATCAAATAAAATTTTTAATACATCTTGAGACTTTATTTCGTTTTTATTTAATCTGTTGTGATTATTAGTGTAGTTTAGATAGATAGATAGATAGATAGATAGATATATAGATAGATAGATGATTTATTTCTTAAAACTGGCAGCCATAATGCTGAAATACGTTTAAGATTACATATAATTCATATATAAATAAATTAACTAAATTACATCTTCAAAGAGTTATAAGTTATGAAACTATTTCTAAAACGTTTGGTATTAAAGTTAGTATTAAATGAAGATTGAGTCCTAAGTTCCATAGTTGAACGTTCTAAACGAGGAGGCAAAAGGTCATGAAGCTTATGTGAGGAATCTGCTACTATCTTCTGAAACAACGCTGTTGTTATATCATTCCTCCTTTCGCTAAGGCGTTGCAAATTAGTAAACTGCAGAGCGTTTTCATATTCTTGATGAGGTAGGATTATTTTTAATGCTCGCTTTTGGACTGACTCTAGGTCATCTGACAGATACAATGTCAGACTATTGTGGAACACTGGGCAAGCATACTCCAGGACAGGTCTTATACACGTTTTGTAAAATTGGAGCAATTCCTTGACTTCGATATTTGCTCGTTTTAGTTGAATAAGATAATAGAGGCGTTTACGGCATTTCTTAATTATTTCATTTACGTGGATGTTCCACTTAAGGTTACTGGCTATAACCAATCCCAAAACTTTCGCGTGTTGGACAATATCCAGTGTAATGTTATTGATGGTAATTGGTTGAAGGTCATTGGTATTAGATCCAAAACAAATTCGCATCTCTTTACATTTGGTTTCATTTAACTGGAACTTATCAGGCGAGATGCTGTTCGCTAATGTGTCCATTTGGTTTTGTAAGTTACTTGTTTCATCTTTCTCAATTACTTCACTAACAGTGGTATCGTCCACGAATTTCCACATTTCATTATTTGGTAACTTGAGATCGTTAATCATTATCAAAATAGCCAAGGCCCCAATTTTGTGCCCTGCGGAACGCCTGCAGGTACGAGTTTCCACTCTTTGTACAGCTTTACTCTTTGTTTCCTGAAGGAGAGGAAATCCATAATCCAGTGTAGAACCCATTTCGGTATATCAAATGAACGTAGTTTTTCAACCAATAAGTTATGATCAATCAGATCAAAAGCTTTCTTGAAATCCAATAACAGCACACGAACGGCCGCCCGTTACCATCAGTTGCTTTATTCCACGACTGTAACATACTAAGTAAAGCTATAGTTGTGCTTGAATTTGGGATTGCCCCATACTGATTAGAGTCTATCTTTTTAAGTACAGCTGGCTTGACATAATTTTCCACAACAAACTCCTCGGCTACTTTTGATACAATCGCAGTAAGTGATATAGGCCTTAAGTGTTTATTAATATCTCGTACAGGTTTCTGCTTTGGAATTGGTGTAATATTTGCTTTTTTCCATGATTCTGGTAACCGGGCCTCTTTAAAGGAGATGTTTATAATATCTGCCACCGGAGCGGCCAATAAATCAGCATTCTCTTTTAGAACCCAGGCGGGAATACCGTCTGGGCCAGTTGCTTTCCTTGCGTTAAGAGCTGACAACATCTTGAAAGCAGTAAACTCAGTGACAGGTAATAACCTCGGAAAATCGTCATTCTCATTATCAAAGCATAAATGTTGGGGCAGTGGGTTGAAATCTTTCATGAGTGTTCTTGATCATGTTTGCAAGTTGCTCAGGAAAATGATCAGAGGGTGTTAGTGCATTATCAATATTTTGCAAGGTTGACATCACATCTTCCTGTGAAGAAACCGACGGTGAAATACCACTTAAGTTTTTTGATTTCCTTCCACCAACTTGCAGATGAACACGATTTTAAATGCTCTACTTTGTTTTGGTAAAAACGTTTCCGACAAGATTTTCTTTCTCGGTTTACTTGGTTTCTTAATTTCTTGAAAGAGTTAAGGTCTTTTTGTGCAAAAGCTTTTTCCCTTCGGCGGATCAGTTGTTTTAGCGATTTGTTCATCCAAGGAGGCTCATTATTGATCAGCACCTTCTTTTTTGTAGGGAGTAAGAAATCAAGACCAAAGTTAATGATGATCTCTAACATTTTCATTTTGTCATCACTATTTCTCATTTTGTCGTCACTATTTCTTCCTACCCACTGTTCGACATTAAACTCTTCTAAATATTTACCAAATGCCGAACGTTTGAATGGTCGCAGATCCCTTGACATTACCACTACTTTAGTCCCAGATTTTTCAGATCTTTTTAATGGTTGCACTTCTACGATGACATGATCGGATTGTCCAAAGGGAGGACGTTTAATTGGAGAATCGAAAATTTTTTTCAAATTTGTTAAAATCAAATCCAGCTTATTATCGCCACGAGTAGGAAAATTTACGATATGACGCAAATGGAAACTATTCTTTAGCAGACGAACGTTCAATTTGTTAAAATCGCCCGAGATAATTATCCCACAATTTGGAAATTTGTTTCAACTGTTTGTAGTGATTCAAAAAGAAAATTGATCATAGCCTCATCATTCGCCCCCGGTGGGTGGTACAAATTACATAAAATAATATTGGACACACCTCTTGGTAAGCGGGTCAGTCTTAGATCTAACCATAATGCTTCGAGCTCATTTGTTAGAAGGTCTTGCAGGATGCTAAAGTTAATTGTATTTCGAATATAGACGCAAACACCACCATGAATGCGTTCACGTCTATCGCGTCTAATTAAATTATATCCAGGTAGCGAAACAATGTTATCATCAATATGACTTTGCAACCAAGTTTCCACGATGCATAGAATATCCACACTTGAACTGGCAATGTACACATGTAATTCATCGATTTTTGGGGCCAGCGACATGATATTAGACAACATTATGGATGGTACAAATACATTTGGTGATCCACAACGTTTAAAGGATACTCTTGGAATAATAATACAATTGCTTTTGTTATGACCAGACGGTCTGCAACGGGAACGTAAGTTATAACGATCGCTTGAATTAAGAGACGATCTTACTAGTGTAGGTACTGTTCGAACGAACTCAAGCGATTGTGGGATAGACAAACAACACTCTAATGTACTATCTTCTTTTTCTTTAAAAATGTCTTTAACTATAAATTGATCGTGTTGGTGTTGTTGGCTGTCGCCTTTTTTACATAGCACAGGTATTCTCTCCAAGACTTTTGTTGTTCCTCTCTGAATTCTTTCGTCAGACTGAATTCCGTTGGTAATTTCTGTTGATGGGAATAAAGATGCTGAAGATGCCAAGAAGTCGACTGACGATTCTGCAAAGGAACTTGTTGATGGAAGTATTGGTGATAAGGGCGTCATTGGAACGACTGACGATGCCAAAAATGGGTTTGTTTATGGCCTGGTGCGGTCGAATGTACTCGCTTCATTACTCTATCACTACGTGTGATTTTTAAGTCTTTATCTACTTCAGAATTAAAGTTGCTCTGATGTTTTCGTTGATGCTCGGTATTCTTAGAGACAAGTTCGTTGCTAGGAATTTCATTTCTTTGCGCCTGCTTGTTTTGAGTGTTAATCGTTTCGCTGACTTTACAGCTTTGATAATTATTCCGCTGCTTGCATTGATATTCATGTATTTGGGACTCAAGTTGATTTAAGCATTTATTACTAGGGAAATCTTTCTGATATTTACTTTGTTGCTTTCGCCGATACTCAATAAGCTGTTTATCAATTTGAACTTGAGTCGTTCTACTCTTGCAGCCTTGACCTGCTGCAAGGGATTTTACTGAGTCCTGCACGCCTACGCTTGTCTCGAGATTAGCAGGTTTTGCATTACAAATTAAGGGCACATTGTTTTGCGATGTAGTCGTTTCGTCATTTAAAGGAATTTTTGGTTGAATAGTTGGCGTGGCATGGGACAAAACAAGCACTTCACTTTCCATCTTGTTAAGCGTGACTTTAGATTCAAATTTTCTGTCGTCAATTTGCATATATCTTGCTTGTTTTTAAGTATGACTTGCTTTTGTTCTGAAATTTTTGCCACCATTTTAAACACCGTTAATTCAATTTGATTTTTAAACTCATCAAACCTGTCCTCTAAGGATGTTTCAGTGTCTCCGGCTTGACATGGAGTTGCGCCGATAAGAGATTCCGTTAAATAGTCTTTATTTGTTTGAGAGGAAAATTTTTTATGAAAGGAACTATCAATAAAGTCCTGTAACTCCTCGATTGTCGACTGGTCAAAAGCCGATACAGGCAAATTTCGCGTTTCAGATTTAGCAAATTCGCCCCGTGTTTCACAGCTTTCACGTATAGTTTGCTCAGCAGATTCATGTTTATTTTCAATATCGGTGTTAATCTTATCTTGTACTTCAGACAAGTTAGCGCTTGAGGACTCCAAGACGCTTATCAACAAATTCCTAAATGATTCTCCGTCCTTTCCATTAAAAGACATTGTACTTAGCTTGCCTGGGTACCAAGTTATAATCAAATCTAAATCGCTGCTAACAAACTTTTTTGATTTGCCTCCGGGCGATTTCCAAATGCCCACCAATTCGACGGTGTTTTCGACAAAATTTCGCAAAGATGTCAGGTCACCTGTCCACTTTAATCGTTGACCATCAAACATCAAAGGGCTTCTTCTTTTATTAATTTAATCGCATGTATGTCCGTTATATCTCGTATGATCCGGCTTATTTCGAGCAAGTCCATTTGAACTTCTACCGCCGCCATATTGTTCACGTCTTAATTTAAATCGAGTGTCAGTAGACATGGCTGTACAGGATGAGTGTAAACTCCAATGAGACAATTGCTTAAATTGTCCAGCAAAGTGCGAAGATCATATCTTCATATAATTTCAAAAATACCGCACTGCATATAACATTCTTTCATAAAAAGTCAGGTTGTTGCGCAAAATTTGTTGTACATTATATATATATATATATATATATAAACTCCAATTATATAATTTTTATATAAATGACAACTTTTTTGAAAATAGACATGTTTCGACATCTCATGATGCCATCTTAAGAAACATAACATCTAATTCTGCTTTCCATTGTTTGGTTTGAAGATTTTCAAACTTGCACAATTCTGATAAGGAAACCTTTCCTTCGTATTTTGTGCTATGTCGTATATAATGTTTCCATAAATTCGTAAAAGCACTATTGCCAATACACATTTATTATAAACGACAACTTTTTGAAAATAGACATGTTTCGACATCTCATGATTCCATCTTAAGAAACATAACATCTAATTCTGCTTTCCAATTATGGTTTGAAGCTTTTCAAACTTCCGCAATTCTGATAAGGAAACCTTTCCTTCGTATTTTTGTGCTATGTCGTAAATAATGTTTCCATAATTTCGTAAAAGCACTATTGCCAATACACATTTAATATAAACGACAACTTTTTCATGTTTACAAGGTAAAACGACAAGTTCTATCAGTAGCATCAAGCAAATACCACATTTATAATCCGATCCCGAATAGGGGAAAGGTAATAAAAGCATTAACATTTATTCATTATGTGCTTTAACACATTATGAACACATGAATATGGGGTGATCCCCTCCGTTGATACTCGATTCTATAAAACCAATCTTTACCTTTGCCTAATGCAGACCTGCCAACCCCAAGGAATACAAAACCTTGAGATTAATGCAGAAAACCTGGAGATCTGGAAAAAACTGGAGATTTCTATTCTTGTATACGACATATTTTTAGATTGAGTTATTAGGCAAATGGCAATGATTACCTCAAGTGTTATGCACAAAAATTTTAACTCAACAAGACACATGCACTGTGTTTGCAGAAACATTTTTCATGTCACGAAAACACAAACATTGCAAGTATATATATAGCGCAGTGTATCATAAGGAAAAGTAAAGACTGTTTAAAAAGTTTTTTTTATGTCATGTATAAATACAAATAACATATTTCATGTAAACAATTGATGTTCTATTTTTGTATGTTGTGCGTAAAACCCAATAAAATGAAAATATAAGCACATCGCATATCACGAATAAGCTTGATGCGCAACATTTTAATATAAAACCAAAAATAAAATAAACACTGGGAAACTGAAATATTTATTTTCTATTAAAAGATCCAATGAACATTTTTAAACGTAAAAGACATCAATGATGCACGTAAAAGATGTATTTATAAAAAATATGTGCATAATACTGAAAATATTCAAATAAAATGTTTTTATCTATTTTTTAGCATTTTCCGTCTTTTAGTAGTTTGTCGGATCAACCTCGATTCTTGTCGAATACGTTTTTTTACGTAGATATCTCGCTAGGTATAAGCTAAGCATGGTACAATGCAGAAAAATTGTCTAAAAAACGACAAGAAATAAATTTTTTGACGGAATTCCCGTTGCCAAAAGTAAAAACAAACATTGATCGCCAAGAAAATATGCACCATTTAAGGGGTAGTAGACAAATTTTCTGACGTATATTAGCTTCATCCAATCACAGGACATTCTTAATAGAGTTATTCCAGTATATTTATAATTCAATTGCCCAAACTTGTCCAAAAATTCTTTGAAAATTATTGAAACTTACCGTTTGTTTCAAAACCATTTAGTCCAGAGAAAGAAGGAGCATTTTCAAACAACCGAACAATCTTTTCTGTACTTTCTTTCAGTTTCTTGACAGGTGAACCATCCCTGTTTGTCCAAAACTTCTCTTTGTATTGCAAACTTTTCGGCCATTTTGTTGTTCGTGCGCTTTTAACATTGATCAGTTTTTAACACAGGGATAATTAATCAACTTAGGGTTAAATTCGTAAATCTAAGGTTAGCTAACCCTGGGTTAAGACATTTAACCTTACGTTAAAAAGCGCGAAGCCAAATAGGGTCAATTTAAAATGCGAGTTCAATGAATACAACCAACCACAGTCGCAAAGCCAGCTTGAAAAGTTGTTTTGATTTTATTGATTACGTAGTTTTTCATCAATTGAAGATAGTCATATTTAAAAGTGATTCCTAGGTGTATTCAATGCAGTTATAGTACTCGCATTGTTGCAGATTTGTCAACAATTCGATTAATTTGTGCATCTTATACCAAACTGTCTGAAGCAAAGAACCTCAAAGCAATTACGACTTGTTTTAGATGAATAGCACAGCCTCGCTGCGTATCTAAATAAAGCTTGCAGAATTAGATTTTTTATACAATTTATTTTTCTACCGAATTTTATTTCTTGCCTTTAGCTCACTGTCGTAAAAACCTTTAGCATTTTGTCTACGTAGGATAATTAACATTGGAAATGAAGAGCAAATTGTATCATGAGTTGTTTTATTTACGAAAATAACAGATTAACCTTGAGTTAAGTACTTTAGCAAACCTGTCGAGGATGGTTAAAGCTAACCCTTGTTTTAACCAAGAGTTTAAGATAATCTAGTTTTTAGCAACGCAAACTAACCCATGGTTAAAAATTAATCCTGGGTTAGGCATATTTAATCCTGGGTTAGCGTTAATCGCCTTTTGAACAACCGGCCCCAGGTTATTACAGTGTCTAAACTGATCCACGTTAATACTGCCACAAGTGCAACGTGTAAAATGTCTTTTTCAACAACTAGAAGGGCAAAAACTTGGCTACGCCCAAAGATACGAGAAATAAGGTTTGGCCATTTTGAACACTAACTAACAAAGATAGATTGGTCAAATTAAGTTTAGTTTCTGTTGCAAATTCCTTTGCATCTGAATGACAAATGAAGGCTGGATTGTGACCAATTCACAAATGAAGATTTCCAGTGATAAGTGGAGTTCAGTGGTATTCAATTTGAATGTTTGTGTTCAATTTCTATAAATTTCTTGTTGTAATCGCTTATCAAATGACAAAAAAAAACAAAAAAGATATTTATACTTTTCTGAGATGAAGTTATTATTTAGAAATGTTTTTAAGACATTTTAGTAGCTAGAACATATACTTTTGAAGACCTTGCCCACTCATTTCATATTTTGCTGTGCCGTCCCTGCATTTAGAATCGAAATGCAAAACACAAAACTAAAAATAACATTTACCTCACGTGTGATCTTCCCGAAATACTCGCGTGTGAAACTTGACGCAGAAATGTATTTCAAAAAGGGTTTGTTCTCTTACCACAAAAATTAATGCATTACAAAAATTTTCGGTGTAAAACGTTCTTTTCCTAAAATTTCGGATGCAGCGAGGCGTTAAATGATTTTGGAAAATAGAAACGACTTTATACTTATCATCAGATTAATCTTCTAAATGTTGTTCGTCTTCGTCATGGTCATTTTACCCAATGACAGTTAAGATTACTACCAATAATTGAACTCTCTTTGTGTCTGCTTGCTAGTCTTGGTCCGTAAATTTAATTTGTAATATTAAAGTTCTTTCAATTTCATCTTGTGTACGACGCGAAAACAAATTAAATAGCATGCTTAGCTAAACATATTTGAATAAGTTTTAGTAACGAGTTGAATAAATTGAAAGTATATGACTTGAAAGCTTCGATGATAATGTTCTTGCAGTGTGAACTGAAGGAACTTATTTGCTGCGTTTGTGTCATTGTTAAAACGTTTGTATCTGAAAAATCCCTTGTGGGCAGTAAATGTCGTTTATAGCGACTATTGCAATCGCTAACCCAAGAACACTTTCACACGAAGTATAGTAATCTGAACATTATAGCTAGTTTGCGCAATCGCAACAATATGATTGAAGATAAACTCTTCTTTAATTTTTTCAAAAAAAGTTTGTTTATAAACAGTACACACAGTAAAACATAAACATTTTTAAAACGAAGGTTTGAATCCAGGCGTATCGTTACATATTTGTGGATATAGATTGTCCATGTTAGTAGATTCCTGAGGAATGTCATTGTGATGGTGACTGACGTTTCGACAACCTCAGCGATTAAGCGTCGGGGGTCGGTTATGTAAAAACGTAATTAACTTTAACTATAGTTAACGCTAACTACCGTAGTAAACTCCTTGACTGTAGTAACATAACTGCTCGACTTAACTACGTTGCACAAAACGTAGTTAGTCGGATAGTGTCTTATTTGAGCCATACGACTTTAGCTTGATGTTTGTGTGTTCAAGTTTAATTGATGGCATTTCTTGTAACAAGGTTCGATACGTTATTTTGTCTATGATGTTTACGCTCGCACCAGAATCTATCAGCATTCTGACTTCAGTCGCTTCAATTATTACGGTCGTTTTGAGCAATCCACTTTGGCTATCTGAGTTCATTGCGTTGATTACTTGGGAGTGAACAACGCATATTCTTCATCACTACTCGAGTCAAGCTGATTGTACACATCTCATCTGTTTGTAGTTTGATCACTTCATTCACTTGAGGTTGTTTTAAGGTAGTTTTACTACACTTTGCAAAGTGGTTTCGTTTCGCTCTACATGTCTTTCCTTTTGCTGGGCATGGATTATCTTTAGGATGGAGAAATTTTCCTCCGCAGTTAAAGCAAGTTGTAGTTCTTTTGTTCATGCGCCATTCATCCTGCCTTAGGCACCGCCCTTCTTTGCTTTTGTTTGATCTGTTATTCGCTGAATTCCTGTATTGCCAGCTGGATCCTTTTGTTCCCTAGATTTGGACTTTCTTGACTATTCTTTGATCTTGTCCTATTCTCAAAGCATGTGTTTCTGATGTTTCCGGATTCCTGCAAAGATCGAGAAGCTTTTTAAGTGTAAGTTTAGGATTTCGTAACGCCCTTCTGCGAAGCCGTAATGAGTTACTGTTCAGAATTATTTTGATTTGAATTCTGTGGGGTCGTCGGCAAATCTGCACGTAACTACTCAAAACAGACAAACAACAACCAGTCAAGTCTGGTGACAACCAGTCAAGTTTGTTCCATCAACATCTGACAAAGCAACTGGATTATTTGGTAAATCTAGTGCTCAAAAAACATTTAATTTACATAGTAAAGAAGAAAAACCAGAAGCATTTGGTGAAGGTAAAAAAACATTTGATTTACCTAGTAAGGAGGAAAATTCATTAGCATTCGGTGGATCTTGTCAATCAAAATTTGGTGGTGTGCCCATGGGTTCACGGGTTCATGGTCGACCTAGTGGTTTATTTTAAAAAACTTTTTTTTAAATATATCATTTTAAATTGTAAAAACATGTAATAAATTGTTTTTTCTTGATTAAAATTGTTTTGCAATTTTTTACATTTTTTTCATTTTTTTACATTATTGAATTTACTTTTTTTCAATTTTTTTCAACTTTTTTCAACTTTTTACAATAAATTTCATTTTTTTTACAATTTTCTCTATATTTATACTTTTTTCTATATCTACTTGTATCATAGATATTCAGTCGATCAAAGAGAGAAGATGTCTTTCAAAAGTAGAATTAATTCAATTATTGAAGCTCTGAAATATGATGGTCAATACTTGTTTATGACAGGTCTTCTTCATATTGGATTTTTTTTCTGTATTCATAAAGCAACGTCTTTGGTTCAAGCTGTTAATATTGGTGTTTGTGATTAATTTTATCTCAACTTTTTTGGTAAGCATATTTTAATTTTTATTATTTATTAACATTATGACACTTACTTGTTTATCATCATTGTTTTAGAAAAAATTTTGTTAAATATTAGAATGTGTGATATACGAACCAAGTCAATTTATCCATGTCTTTGTATGCAGATGAAAAGTTGTTTAAGTGGTATTGGGCCGATAATGAATTTGGTGAATTATTTGAGTCCTTTTATCGATTTTATATTGTGGATAAAGCATTGAAGCGAGACAATTTGTATCATCAATAAATTGGACTTTGGACTTTCCATATTATCATTCCAAAAATTTCGCGAAGAGGAAGCAGAGAAATTGCGGGTCGTTTCGTTTTTCGAGGACTTAATTTGGAAATTGTTGGTAAACGTTTCACCATAATTCTTATTACCATTTTTTTCTTCAGAATGAAAGAAGAATTCATCTGGCGGTGTCTCATCTCCAACATTTTCATCAACATCGTCATCTGAAAACTCAGAGACGATGACACGTCACTTCAGTTGCCTAAAGGGTTACCCCTTTAGGCAACTGAAGCGACGTGTCATCGTCTTCATTGTTAGTTGCAGTGGACCAACTCTCTTCTTCAAACTTATCTCCTTTCTTTGTACGAATCTTATTAGTTGTCTTGCGATCAAAGGTTGTGCTACGTTCAACATTTCGTGAAGAGGAAGCAGAGAAATTGCGGGTCGTTTCCTTTTTCGAGGACTTAATTTGGAAATTGTTGGTAAACGTTTCACCATAATTCTTATTACCATTTTTTTCTTCAGAATGAAAAAGAATTCATCTGGCGGTGTCTCATCTCCAACATTTTCATCAACATCGTCATCTGAAAACTCAGATCTCATTGAAATATTTGTCAGTTTTCCACTACTCTGTTTATTACCACGAATCCTGGCAAGTTTGTAACTTCAAACACTTGGCTCACCAGTTGGCCTGAATTACAAACACTTGGCTCAACAGTTGGAGCGAGAGAGCCAGTTCAAGATCCTCCATCACTCCTGTCAACAGTGAAAATGCGGTGAGCCAACCGACACTCGTATGGTCAGGAATAAAGCAAGAGAGTCCATCTAATGATGAAGAGGTAATGTCATTTAGAAATATATATATATAATATGTAAAAGATAAAAAGTTTCTCCGGATTTTAAGTGATTTTTATTGAGCTTTCGACTCGTTGCTTCGAGCCTTCATCAGAATGAGGATATTAAATAAAAATCACTTAAAATTCGGAGAAACTTTTATCTTTTATGTATTAAATGCCTGGATTACAAATTTTCAAACTTATATATAATATGATAACATATAGGATTCTCTGGATTTTTATTTTGAAATTTTTATTAAGCTTTCAACTCGGTGCTTCGAGCCTTCGTCAGAATGTGAGAATAAATTATTTATAAACAAGACAAACTCAAAATCTACATACAAACTCAAATCATACTTCACTAAACATAAAGACCGAACAACGAAAATAAGTAAATCACCGAATAAAATGGCAATGATAGTAATAATTCTAAATACTAATAATATAAGTACTAAATGTGGAAGCAAATATATTTTAGATTAATATAAAAAATTCATATCATGATATGATATTATTCTTTAAAACATAAACATTACCTGGCAAAGGATCGAAGTTTATTCCACATTTAATTTCGATGTCTTTCAAACTTGATTCCTCTTTTCCTGCGGCCACGAAATTTATGGCCACGCCATACGATCCTGTTTAACGTTCAAAACTAAACATAATCCCCAATAATGAATGAAATTTTTCCAATGTTGGGAAGATGTTTGACGTACGCATTAAAAAAATATGAAAAAATAGATGAGAAGTTGGTTCCCGTAGTCGATGACTTATCATACGATAAATGGCTTTGATAATGGCAATGTATTTCTGATGAGCCATCATGATAACAAATTATTCTTTAATAGACGGATGGGTTAGGTAGGTAACGATGGATTTTATAGGAATGTAAGTAGAATGGATTGGTGGCATGGGTTGATATAAGGGTACATAGGGTACAAACACAAGCTTATTTGTCATTTTATCGATGTCATTTTATATGTATTGATCAACATTTGTCTTTTTTCTTGTTGTGTAAAGACGTGTTACGTCGTGAACAAAAAAATAATATCATTGTCAAACACCGAAACATGACATTGTGTAAGTAAAAATGGCCAACCAGGTTAAAATCTTTCTACTTTGAGATCTATTATCCGTAAATATTTTAGCAGTATGTAAAATCGCCATTTTCAGTAACGCCATCTTCGTCAAAAAAATAATGGACGACTGTTGCAATTAGCTATCTATAAATAATTTAAATGGTGACCTACCGTAACGTCCAGCCCTCCCAACTCTATGTAAATATGTCTCAGAGTCACGTGGAAGATCCGTGTTAATCACAAGGTTCACACGTTCAGCATCGATGCCACGAGACATCTATAGATACAGAAGATAAAGTATGGATAGATGTTTTGATAAAGGGATAAATGTTGTGATGAGGGAGAGATGGTGCAACGAAGGGATCATCTCAGTACAAATGGATTTCCACATAAATTTTGAATGTTAATGCTCCTGTTTAAAGATAATTTTAAATCAAACAAATCATTATAATAATACCATTACTACTTATAATTACTTATAATGGTAGAGAAGATTCAATGGGAGATTCACTCTACACTATAATTCAAGATTCAATCTCTCGGGATGTTACCTCTGATATTAATCATAACATTAACGAGTGACGTTGTAACGCGGTATACTGGATGCTATCATTAATAAAATTTATCACAACATTGACGAGTTACTCTTGGAGATAATACAAGATGCTATCTTTAATATAAATCTAAATATTAACGAGTTACCCTTGGTTGTTGTACGTAATGCTACCGTATCACAATATTGACAAGTTACGCTAGTTAGTAATACAAGATCCTATCTTTAATACTAATGTAATCATAACATTGACAAGTTCCCCTAGATGGAATACAGATGATTTGTTTAAAATTAAGAATATTTCTACTATAACTGACGTCCAAGTATCCAAGCAAGAAAATATAGAAATCAGTTAACGTCACTTAAAAGACCTGTTGATATCAAAATACGACATTTGAGCTGCTTCAACTTCCTCATTGCATCAAGACGTTCATTTTGCCCTTGACCACCTTTCTCAAAAAAATAAACATAAAAAAATAAACATGACTGTATTTCATTCTTGGTTTATCCAATGACAGAGAACAAAATTAACATAGTGATGACAACTAACAGACCAGAGAGTACAAAAGCAGAGAAACTTGTTTTATAAACTAACACTAACCAAAGTATGACAAAACATCATGTTTCTAAAACACAGTGGCATGACCTCTCTACTTTGTTATTTACTTTGGTAAATATTTTATTAGAAAATACCAAGAAAGCATCTTGGTGTTCATGAATACGAAAAACAAAATAAGGAAAATTACCCTAAATGACAAATCAAACAAAGATAATTGACCAAGATTTATAAATTACATAGCAAACACTACCTGAAATATGTGTAGAAGGAAATCCAATTTTAGCCAAAGTTTCACTCAAATTCTTTGCTCTATGAAATAAATTTATACATAAAATTAAGAACCAACATACAAATTGTGACGGCAATGGATACTAAGTAGTTTTTTGTTAGATACATACCTTATTTGATAGTTAGAAAAGATAAGGCATTGATGGAAAGATATCTGTGACAACATAACCAGTAAATGAATAACCTAGAGTAGAATATTCAACACTTGAACAAATGCACAGATAAGGTAAATTATAAATGTCATATCACATAAGCCTGCAAAACATGCAGCACACTGGACAGCAGTTTCACAAGTTAATAGAATGAGTGACATACATTGAGTGGTAACATACAGAATAAAGATTTAGATAATGTCTAGACCAACAGTCCAGTGTTTGCATGCATGTGTAAGCCTATAGCCAACTAGGTATGACCAATACTACGAACCTTTTCATCAAATGTTTTATGTGGGAGAGAATGACTTGGTATTGTGCAAAAATAATGATGAATCCTTAAAAACATATTCATGTACTTTTAAAAGTCAGTACATACAATATAAATGTTCATGCAAAAGACTATAGATCACGAATTTTCATGCAAAAGACTGTAGATCATGAACTTTCATGCAAAAGACTATAGTACACGAATTTTGTATCGAAAGGTTTGTATCTTATTGAGACGAAACTGGGATGCTTTATTGGGAAGTATGACTCTTATTGAGACAAAACTGTTCTAATTTAAAGCCAATAAATATTTGAGGAAAAATACTAACAAAATCCTGCCTTGTTTTTCTTCCTCTTTAATCCATCCTCTTTCATTCCTAAAAACTAAAACAAAAGTACACGAATTTTCTTTCAAGGGACTGTACATCACGAATTTTCATGCAAAGACTATAGTACACGAATTTTCATGCAAAAGACTATAGATCACGAATTTTCATGCAAAACACTGTAGATCATGAACTTTCATGCAAAAGACTATAGTACACGAATTTTGTATCGAAAGGTTTGTATCTTATTGAGACGAAACTGGGATGCTTTATTGGGAAGTCTGACTCTTATTGAGACAAAACTGTTCTAATTTATGGGTAATAAATATTTGAGGAATAATACTAACAAAATCCTGCCTTGTTTTTCTTCCTCTTTAATCCATCCTCTTTCATTCCTAAAAGTAAAACAAAAGTACACGAATTTTCTTTCAAGGGACTATACATCACGAATTTTCATGCAAAGACTATAGTACACCAATTTTCATGCAAAAGACTATAGATCACGAATTTTCATGCAAAAGACTATAGATTACGAATTTTCATGCAAAGACTATAGTTCTCGATTTTTTCATGCAAAAGACTGTAGATTACGAATTTTCATGCAAAAGACTATAATTCACGAATTTTGAATCAAGAGGTTTGAATCTTATTGAGACGAAACTGGGATGCTTTATTGGGAAGTCTGACTCTTATTGAGACAAAACTGTTCTAATTTATGGGTAATAAATCTTTGAGGAAAAATACTAACAAAATCCTGCCTTGTTTTTCTCCTTCTTTAATCCATCCTCTTTCATTCCTAAAAGTAAAACAAAAGTACACGAATTTTCTTTCAAGGGACTATACATCACGAATTTTCATGCAAAAGACTATAGATCACGAATTTTTCATGCAAAAGACTGTAGATCACGAATTTCATGCAAAAGACTATAGTACACGAATTTTCATGCAAAAGACTATAGTACAAGAATTTTCATGCAAAGACTATAGATCACGAATTTTCATGCAAAACACTGTAGATCATGAACTTTCATGCAAAAGACTATAGTACACGAATTTTGTATCGAAAGGTTTGTATCTTATTGAGACGAAACTGGGATGCTTTATTGGGAAGTCTGACTCTTATTGAGACAAAACTGTTCTAATTTATGGGTAATAAATATTTGAGGAATAATACTAACAAAATCCTGCCTTGTTTTTCTTCCTCTTTAATCCATCCTCTTTCATTCCTAAAAGTAAAACAAAAGTACACGAATTTTCTTTCAAGGGACTATACATCACGAATTTTCATGCAAAAGACTATAGTACACCAATTTTCATGCAAAGACTGTAGATCACGAATTTTCATGCAAAAGACTATAATTCACGAATTTTGAATCAAGAGGTTTGAATCTTATTGAGACGAAACTGGGATGCTTTATTGGGAAGTCTGACTCTTATTGAGACAAAACTGTTCTAATTTATGGGTAATAAATCTTTGAGGAAAAATACTAACAAAATCCTGCCTTGTTTTTCTCCTTCTTTAATCCATCCTCTTTCATTCCTAAAAAGTAAAACAAAAGTACACGAATTTTCTTTCAAGGGACTATACATCACGAATTTTCATGCAAAAGACTATAGTACACGAATTTTCATGCAAAAGACTATAGATCACGAATTTTCATGCAAAACACTGTAGATCATGAACTTTCATGCAAAAGACTATAGTACACGAATTTTGTATCGAAAGGTTTGTATCTTATTGAGACGAACCTGGGATGCTTTATTGGGAAGTATGACTCTTATTGAGACAAAACTGTTCTAATTTAAAGCCAATAAATATTTGAGGAAAAATACTAACAAAATCCTGCCTTGTTTTTCTTCCTCTTTAATCCATCCTCTTTCATTCCTAAAACTAAAACAAAAGTACACGAATTTTCTTTCAAGGGACTATACATCACGAATTTTCATGCAAAAGACTATAGTACACGAATTTTCATGCAAAAGACTATAGATCACGAATTTTCATGCAAAACACTGTAGATCATGAACTTTCATGCAAAAGACTATAGTACACGAATTTTGTATCGAAAGGTTTGTATCTTATTGAGACGAAACTGGGATGCTTTATTGGGAAGTCTGACTCTTATTGAGACAAAACTGTTCTAATTTATGGGTAATAAATATTTGAGGAATAATACTAACAAAATCCTGCCTTGTTTTTCTTCCTCTTTAATCCATCCTCTTTCATTCCTAAAAAGTAAAACAAAAGTACACGAATTTTCTTTCAAGGGACTATACATCACGAATTTTCATGCAAAAGACTATAGTACACCAATTTTCATGCAAAAGACTATAGATCACGAATTTTCATGTAAAAGACTGTAGATCACGAATTTTCATGCAAAAGACTATAGACACGAATTTTCATGCAAAAGACTGTAGATCGCGAATTTCATGCAAAATACTATAGTATACGAATTTTCATGCAAAACACTATAGTACACGAATTTTGAATCGAAAGGTTTGTATCTTATTGAGACGAACTGGGGTGCTTTATTGGGAAGTCTGACTCTTATTGAGACAAAACTGTTCTAATTTATGGGTAATAAATATTTGAGGAAAAATACTAACAAAATCCTGCCTTGTTTTTCTCCTTCTTTAATCCATCCTCTTTCATTCCTAAAAAGTAAAACAAAAGTACACGAATTTTCTTTCAAGGGACTATACATCACGAATTTTCATGCAAAAGACTATAGTACACCAATTTTGAATCGAAAGGTTTGTATCTTATTGAGACGAAACTGGGTGCTTTATTGGGAAGTCCGACTCTTATTGAGACAAAACTGTTCTAAGTTAAAGCCAATAAATATTTGAGGAAAAATACTAACAAAATCCTGCCTTGTTTTTCTTCCTCTTTAATCCATCCTCTTTCATTCCTAAACAGTAAACAAAAGTACACGAATTTTCTTTCAAGGGAGCATACATCACGAATTTTCATGCAAAAGACTATAGTACACCAATTTTCATGCAAAAGACTATAGATGACGAATTTTCATGCAAAAGACTGTAGATCGCGAATTTCTTGCAAAATACTATAGTATACGAATTTTCATGCAAAAGACTATAGTACACGAATTTTCATGCAAAAGACTATAGATGACGAATTTTCATGCAAAAGACTGTAGATCGCGAATTTCATGAAAAATACTATAGTATACGAATTTTCATGCAAAAGACTATAGTACACGAATTTTCATGCAAAAGACTATAGTACACGAATTTTCATGCAAAAGACTATAGTACACGAATTTTCATGCAAAAGACTATAGACCACGAATTTTCATGCAAAACACAATAGTACACGAATTTTCATTCAAGGGACTATTTATCAGGAATTTTCATGCAAAAGACTATAGTACACGAATTTTCATGCAAAAGACAATAGTACACGAATTTTCAGTCAAGGGACTATACATCACGAATTTTCATGCAAAAGACTATAGTATACGAATTTTGAATCGAGAGGTTTGTATCTTATTGAGACGAAACTGGGATGCTTTATTGGGAAGTCTGACTCTTATTGAGACAAAACTGTTCTAATTTAAAGCCAATAAATATTTGAGGAAAAATACTAACAAAATCCTGCCTTGTTTTTCTTACTCTTTAATCCATCCTCTTTCATTCCTAAAAAGTAAAACAAAAGTACAAGAATTTTCTTTCAAGGGACTTGTTACTATCAAGTCGTCATACAACAAGAATAAGCCAATCACAAATTTATTAATTTCAAATTACTGTTTTCGAATTACTGTTCTCAAATTACTGGTTTAAATTACGTTAAGGACCGTTTGGTCCCACGTACAACATTCAACAACAACAATCTGTCTTTTACTCTTATTAAAAAACAACACTTTCAAACGTCACTTCCTGTTTTCCATTCCGTCCGTAGCGACAATCCATACGGTAGCCACACCAGCCCCTAAATGGAAATTGCAACGTAGGAATCCATTTAAACCATATCAAGCTACCGTTAAATCTGGTACATATCACAACAAGAACATAACTCTTAAATTCTAAATTATTTGGATATGTAAACTTCAATTGTCCATCTCAAGTAGACATAATTTAGTCACGGGACGGATCAAGGTTACCGTGTTCATCTTGTAATCTCCCTTTCGTTGATTTCGTTGATGTTTGGCTCTAGTCGATACTGTTGAACTAGGTTTACCTTCACTGTCCGAACATTACCGTCATTACTTGCTATTGCTTCTACAACGTGACCTAACGGCCATTGTCCCCTTGGGTAGTTTTCGTCAGCTACAAGTACTAGATCTCCTTTTAAGATTCCGTCTCGGTGTGTACCATTTCTTTCTCTATTAATGTTGGTAAGTATTCTTTGAGCCATCTACGCCAAAAACATTTGCTAAGTATTGAGCCTGCTTCCAATTCTTCTTACAGCACAAATCCTTTTTGTCAAATAATCCTGGGGGTAAACTAGTACTTGCTCGTAAATGCAATAAGTGGTTTGGAGTTAGAGGATCGTCATCGTCAGGACTGTCACTGTTGCGCGTGAGAGGTCTTGAATTAAGGATTAGAACCACCTCTGCAATCACGGTTTGCAGGACTTCGTCTGAAACTACTTGTTCTTTGAGAATTGCTTTGAGGATTTGTCTAACAGATCGTATCATTCTCTCCCATACGCCTCCCATATGGCTCGCTGAAGGCGGGTTAAAGTGCCACTTAATTCTTCTTTGCGTACAAAATTTGTCCACTTTACCTTGATCCCATTCTTCAATTCCTTTGTTCAATTCCTTGTTAGCACTCACAAAATTTGTTCCTCTATCACTCCTGATTTGCTCGGGACATCCTCGCATGCTAATAAATCTCCTGAGAGCGTTGATCATCGAGTCTGTATCCAAGGAATGAGCTATTTCTATATGGATTGCTCGGTCCGTGAAACATGTGAAAAGGCAACCATATCTTTTCATAACGATCTACCTCTTTTCACCAGCATGGGTCCAAAATAATCGATTCCTACTATAGTAAAGGGAGGTTTTTGGGGTGTCACTCGGCTTTCTGGTAGATCTGACATTAGCTGCTCACCCAAACGAGCCTTTCTTCTTTGACAAGCTAGGCAACTTCGTACTACGCGTCGAACTGCTGTTCTTCCTTTAATTATCCAGAATTCCTTTCTTAGTGATGATAAGACGGATTCTTGACCCATATGACCTACTTCAGCATGATGTTGACGAATTATCATATCCGTGACGGGATGCTTGAAGGGTAGAATAATAGGATGTTTTGATTTCCCGTTGATTGGCGCATTACCAAGCCTGCCTCCAACCTTTAGTAAGCCGTTCACCATCATTGGATTTAATTGTCGGATGGAGATTCCTGATTTTCTGAGTAGTGCTTTGTCAAGCTCGTTACTATTTCCTAGAACTGCAAACAGTTTTAGTTCTTGAGAGAATGTGGTGTTCTGTACATGTGCGAAGATCTCCCTATCGGCGGCATCCAATTCTTCCATTGTTAGTCGTCCAACTTTAAATTCCGATTCCAAATGAGGACCAGAAATAACGGATGTCTGTCAAAAAACGATTCCAAATGAGGACCAGAAATTCCGATTCCAAATGAGGACCAGAAATAACGGATGTCTGTCAAATAGGATGTCTGTACAACAAGCATAACGATGAGCGGTATGAAATCTTTTTCAAAGTATTATTCTGTTTGATTATTACGTCAAAATTACATTATACTTTGCGTTAAATATGTAGCTATTAGATGTATTGAGTATTTCTTTAAACCAGTTAAATACATCTAATTATGTATATACACAATAACATATGTATATACACAATATCTGTTGAAACTAAGTAAAGATTGTTTCAGCAAGAAATCTCTTTACACATAGCGCGGGAAAGATCGCCAAAAAGTCATACGACGTATTGATCAAAATAGGTCACGTGTCAAGTGGTATAAACATTCACCAGCAAGAGCTGGGTGACGCGGTATGTGTAAATTGATCAAATCGTGCAGAGATAGCACAAAATTTAATAGCATAGTAGGTTTCGTGTGATGTATTTAAAATACGATTGCTTTCATTTCAAGTTAAATATTATGTTTTAACTTGTTAAAACCCTGTATGATGTACTATTATATAGTAGCAAATACTGACAAATTATATCTGTATATAACACATACAATAAAGAGTCCTTGAAGTTGATGCATCAGTAAATTCTTCTACTTTGTAGACATATTATATTTACATATACTGAACTATACGTATGTTATATATATACAATAAAAGTTATACAATTTCCATGCTCTGTTTTTTTTGACAGACATCCTACAAGTTTTACCTTTTAACCATTATGTGTAGAAGGAACAGTTTGTTTTGTTGTTGTCGTCGTTGAAACAGATGATACCGTTGAAGTTTGCCTGTAAAATATTTGCTGAAAGTTTAGGGAAAAATTGATAAACTATTCATGAAATAATAGGTAGTAGCATTTTCTTTCTAAAACAAGCCTAAGTTTGAGTTCTTTGTGTTGTATTATTACGAAATAAAAGATTTTTACTGTGTTTGCACAGGCTTATGCAAACCGAGGAGACCTTTGGGAGAACACGAGAGCAGATCAGTGCAAGCCCGAAACCGAAGGTAGAGTGTTGCACATGCTCAAGATTTCTCACAAACATCTCCGAGGTTTGCATAAGGCAGTGCAAACAGAAAAAATATCTTTTTAAAAAAATATCAATAATGCGAAATAGACAAATTTAAAACAAACGATTTAATTTTTCCTCTAAAATGTATTCATGATTGATTTGCGAATTCTCTTTGATTGATTTGATTTGTTGGGCTCAGATCGGTTTGCAGAAGCTAATGAAAACACAGTTATAGACCAATCAGGGCATGCGCTAGATTGCTTTATGTTCTTGTTTTGACTTTCAATTTTTCTGTCTATTCTTGCCTTACAAACATTAACACTAAAATATCGTTTAATATTCTGTATATTGAACAATAAATTACACTCAAACATGATCACGTGTTTACTCACATGAAAAATGGAAAGTATTTGAACAAAGAACTCTTGCAAGGATTTTCACCTAACTCTGGAACAGCACCCAGACTATAATTGATCAATTGTCTCAAGTAATTTTCCAATTGTTTCCGACGTTTTTCCACAAAATTTACGTCACGATTTCCAAGAATTTTTTCGCGGGAACGTGAATTGTGCAACAGGTTTAAACTGCTTGCTTGTCTGTGCATAAAAAGGAAAAGGAAGGGATTGTACATTACGGCAAAACAATATGATTAAAAAATTAAAATACTGATGTTCATTAAAACCTTTTTATGTAGGGCATAAAATCCGAGTATCTTTGTAAACATTCCATTCATCGTCTTTGATACGGATATAAACCTTGTGAAGTAAACAATGTTAAATTCTTTATTGACGACAATAAATGGACCACTGAGCAGATGATATACATATATATATATATATGAGCACTGTGCTGACTCTACAATACAATCCATACAATGTGTAACCGTACGCCCTGTGTCCCAAGTGCAGGAATCACTATTTTAATATAGTGATAGCCGGGAGGGCACATTGTATATACACTTTGTATATATATAACAGTATAAAACAGTATAAATCCGTTTAAAACAGTGCTCGATGCCCGCGAGCAGAGCGTAAATATGTTTAGTGGTGTTGAGAAAAAATCACAAAACTACAGATTCATCCCGACAAGCCTGTTTCGTGATTAAAGGAAAATCCCCTGAAGAGTGAGCAATCACGAAACAGGCTTGTCGGGATGAATCTGTAGTTTTGTGATTTTTTCTCAACACCACTAAACATATACATATGAAAAGTGAAATATTTAGATACGATGACCACAAACACTTTTCTTAAGGGTGATGTATTTGAAACGAGGAAAATACCAAATATAGATAATAAATCTTGAAATATTTTCCCTAGTTATCCCTAACCTAGTCCAGATAACCATCAACATCACATCGGAAGAGTTATTTACTTTTTTTAGAGATAAATATATGGAAAAATTATACCTGATAAGAATGGTGAATGTTTGGAGACTTTCCTTGGACAAAACAGATGGAATCCAAATGTTAATTAAAGGACGAGTATTGACAGACATGAAATTTGGACCAAACTCCGTCAAATATAAACATTCATCATGATTATTGTCCTGAGGAAGCTAGAACATACGAAGATACGTAGTTTTATTAAGAAATACTTAGAAAATGAAAAGAATATTTACTGCTTTTCATATTCATACCAAACAGTTCATATTGTACATACCGATCAATATTGTACATCTATTGTACTATAATGAACACACGGGTCTTTACTGAACATACCGGTCCTCTAAGATTGACAAGCTCTTCTTTTAATTTTCTTAGCTGATATTCACGAGCGTTCAATAAGTTCGCCATGCATATCAGCGACCTTTAAACATGATAAACAACATTTCATCACAACTTACGCCATGACGCCATCACCATGAAATTCCCCAGACATGAACAAGAAACGCGAAATCAGTCAGAGTGGCGAGTTTTTTTAAACATATATCACGATTTCATTTCAGTTATTTATCCTCAGTTTTCATAAGTTAAAATATCTTCTTGTATTAGATATTTCTAAAAGTCACCGTGTGCAGAGTTTTCTATCAAATAAATTTCGGCTCATCTTCATGAAGCATATGATACATGAAGACCTTTTAAGGCAAATGTTTCGATTTGTAAAAGTATTATGGTTTAATGGAAATCTTACTTGGATCAACTTCCGCTCAAAATCTTTGTTTTTTTCCTTTCTACAAAAAGAAACGAAATTCAACGCCGTTGATTCACTTTTGCTACAAATTTACTGTAAATACCTCACTTCGTCGACGTCAGATTCCGGAGAAAGAATGATGGAAAAAGTCTTTCATTTTCTGGAGCTACACAAAAGATTATCGAATATCTTAGATTTCTACATCTATTTTAAAGATAAACTATCCCTCTAATAAACCTTCTTCCATAATGTCATTTCTTTTCAACGATTGAACAGCACCCACGTATTTCTTTAGTTGGTCAACAGGTCAACAGACATCTTTGATTAACGAAAATGCAGAGTTCTCAATGTCCTAACCTTTTCAAGCCGTTAAGAGCGACGCAATTTTCTTCATCTTTCGACGACATAGCTCTTTTTAAATCTTCTAATTGAAGACGAAGAGAAGCTGACTTCATCATCTCTTTTCCAAATGTTGTTGTAACGATCTACAGGAAAGATGACCGAAGGAAAAATCAGGGCAAAATAGTGTATATTCGAATGGAATGTTAATATTAAACGAAGGACGATAATACAACCTGTTACGTTCTTCAACTTCATCTTTTCTTAACATCATCGATACAATCGCCTGTTTTAATTCCTCTTCAACAATAAAAAATCACGTATTTATTGATATTCATGAAATTATAATTATTCACACTTACAATGATTCAGTTCACATGATGAAATTTGACCGATGCCTCCAAACAAGCAAAGCAACTACGATACAAATAGTAAAATCCAATTGCACTAAATATTTCTATATTTAAAACTAACTCTACCTGCTAATAGCCCATTTATAGTTTGAGAACCTGAGGCAAAAGTGCCTCTCCCGTTCCCAAAACATTTTTCCAAAAGATATAAGAAATAAAAACATTTAAATACGTGAATAGAAAAAACACACAAACCTGAAGTCATTTCTTTGCCTGATGGATATTCCTCTGATGGCTAAAGAACGAAAACATACCAAATATAACGAACTAAATATAACAAAGATATTTACAGATGGCTTTCTACCCTACCCTCCCCCCTCCTTAAAAAAGATAAAAGCATTTCATAATTAACTAACATTCATACAACCATCACCCATGGTTCTGACCAATGAAGATCCTGAGTAATCATTAATTTCTATGCTACCATCACGTGTGGCACATATCGCTGCAACAGTTGCCTCTATTGCTAAACTTGCATCATTCTCGACGTCTTCATCAGTGTAAATACTGAAAACAACATAAATTACCACCTCAGTTAAAATGGTCAACTCGTTAGAAATTCTTGTCGATAAAATAATGAAGTATCTTCTAAATGTCGCAACGTCTCAGGTGCAACAGTAAATCGCTCATTTTCATCTGACATAGCTAGACCCTAACTCCTTTATCGTCATCGGGGCAAACAAAGGGAATTAGAGATACACCGCTGTTCATATCAACAAGGGCTCAAACACTTCCTCCGACAAGAGCGATGAGTCAGTGTAACGCCCTGATTGCAAAGATGTTGTCAAAGAATGATTTTTTCAAATCATTCGCAGTTTTAAACTCGTCTTTAAGATGCAGAACTTCCTGGCTTTTCTTTGTTAATCGAGCCACTTGTTCATCTGTTTCATTCTCCTTGTTCTCAACGTTGGATTTCGCCATTGTGGAAGAAAGACTTGAATTCTCAGAATTTGAACAATAAGCCAACTGAGAGTTCTTTGGCACTTCAAGAAAATCGTCAGGCCTTTTAGTAAAGCATGGTTACCACGAGCATGTACCTGAGAATCAGTATTACGTTGTAATATATCGTATGCCGCTCGGGTAAAACTCGTGGAACTATCGTGAGCAGTCGTATTCGTGGAAGAACTACCATGAGAACTGACAGTACAAGTTCCTTCTTCCGTCTCTGTGAATTCAACATTTTCAATTTGCGCAATGTTTGCTTTCTTTTTACGTTTTGTCTTTTCTTTTCCTGAAACAAAAAGAAAGATAACAGTTACAACTTAATAAAGACGCGTGGGGATAAATGACTACGCATTGTTGAAGTATGATAAAGAATAAATGAGGATGCGCGGTTAAGGGATGATAAGGGATGAATAAAAAACAGGTATAGTTAAGGGATAAATGAAGACATGTAATAATGGGATAATAAAGGTTAAGGAGAACACATGGTTGGGGGATTACAAGGAATAAATGACATGTGTGGTTAAGGAATGATAAGATTAGCGATATATGAGATGAATGGTAGGGATAGTTAGGGATAAAAGCGATTATAGATTCATTTTAACTCTGAAGATGACTTCATATAGCACGTTTTAAGGGCATTATTTATACGTTGTATATTTAATCGGTTTCATAAATATGTATTTCCTAGGTGAAAGTGTGTCAAAAAGCGCTCAAATACTGGCATTTTGTCAATTCTATTATCTGAATCAGTAATAATCTCAAGGATGTCTGTTCCATCTTGCTTTTTGCAGTTTCCATTTCTACCTTCAATGCTGCTTCGTAAAAGTAATCTTATATAGGCAGCTGTGAACTGTTGGGCTGTTGGGTTATTGTTAAATCCTCCTGCTGATCGAATTGCCCCAAAAATAGCTCTAAGTGATCTTGGCTGAACTTGTATGTTAGTATGTATTTCATTGGTGCATTTTTTCTTTCAACCAGGTCAGAGAAAATTTGCTTGATGTTTGTTATTGCCACCAAGAGTCCCACAAATCCTGTCTTTCGGCGAGTGTTGTACAGCAGATTACCAGATACATCTCGCAGATTTATAATGTAGTTATAAGCTTCTGCTAAAAATGCCTCCCAAGTTTCTTTGTTGCTTTTTCGAAGAGCAGCCTTATAACCTTTGGCACATGGGTTTCGAGAGTTAAGAATGTCGAACAGATGATCTATGATGCGAATAAAGTAGACAGTGGCTTCCGATCCTTGAAATTGTGGAAGTTTAAGAGTGTTTGTGCAGTATTCTATTGCATCAGAAACACTGGAACTTAGTGTTTGGGCAGCCAAATTTACTTTCATTTTCTGCTGCCACCATTTTATATGTGCCTCCTTCAACTTGTTTCCAAGTCTCAAGCCTTCGTTATCTTGGAGCTTTTGTAATTCTGTAATATACTCCCAACATATTTTTTGACCATCACCATCAACTAATATTTTGCCATCTCCCAGCGTGTTCCTAACGAGCTTGATCATGTGGCAAATATCGAGGAACACATAAACTCTCCTGTTTTTATCTGAAGGATGGATGAAATATGGATGTAGTTGAGGTGGTGTCATACTTGCTCCAAGAGCTCGTAACATAGCGAAATGGCAGGATGGCCCATCACATACAAAAGAAATCACATCAACACCGATATGGTGAAGTTTCTTGATGCACAGCTCAACCAAATTTGCGCGCTCTTCACCGCTC